GACTTCCTGGAAAAGACCCTGATGCTGGGAAAGATGGAGGGCACAAGAAGAAGGGGACGACAGAGGACAAGATGGTTGGACAGTGTTCTCGAAGCTACCAGCATGAGTTTGACCAAACTGCGGGAGGCAGTGGAAGACAGGAGTGCCTGGCGTGCTCTGGTCCATGGGGTCATGAAGAGTCGGACATGACTAAATGACTAAACAACATATCTCCCTTCAAGGACACATTTTCCCTAGCTTTCTGCCAACATAGTTCACCATATAGAATCCCCAATCTGTCCCAATTGTTCAATGCCAGGAGGACACACTCTAGATCCCTCCTCCAACTGGACAGAGAGCCTGGAGAGAGAGAGAATTTCCAGAAACTCTCCCTCCCTGACCCTTAAGTCTGTTCTGGTGCTGCACCGAATACCCAGGTGGACCCAGCTGGGTGAGACCAGCTTCACCCTGCTCCCCACCCCCCACGTCTCACGATATGATACATCTTTATTGTCATTGTCCCATACACAACAATGAAATTGAAAAATCTACATAAGACATTCAAAACCCCCTAAAAACTCTGAAACCCCATTTTGAAATACAATATGCTCCTATAGAGACTCCTTATACTGCATTTAAAACCAGAATTGCATTTGGGTAGAAACTGTTTCTCAGGCGGCTAGTCCTAGTCTTTATAACCCTGTACCTTCTTCCATAAGGCAGAAGCGGAAGAGATCATTTCCAGGGTGCGCACTATCCTGCACTATCTCTGCAGCTTTCTTATGGGACCTGGCAGCATAGATTTGATTTAAGGTGGGAAGAATGCACCCAATTATTCTCTCCGCAGTCTTTACAACCCGGGACAACATTGTTTTTTCCCTGACCGTGCAGCTCCCAAACCACACACACAGACCATAAGTTAGTACACTCTCCACAGTACAATGGTAAAATGCCATCAATGATACAGACCAGATCAGCCTCCTCATCCACAATCAGATGATAGATAAGGGAGGTCTTATTCAGAGCTTATTTGTTTACAACTCTTTGTTTTATTTTGATCTGGCTAGCATATTTTATCAGTTCAGATGGTTGTCTGTTCAACAACAGTATCCTGTGTCAGACAAGGTTAAAATAACCCTCCTTGGTGTAACTCTTGGCTGGTGCCAGGCTTTGCTGGCATTTTGGCAATCCTTCCAGGAGACAGAGCCTCCTTTCTCTACCTCCTCCCCCACTGGTATTCAGTTCTGATTCTACTGTGCCATGCAAGCCATGCCCTCTAGCAGCAAGCCAGCATTGCTTTTGGCTGTTGCTTCAAATTCAGAGAGCTGGGCTTGATCCCAGCACTGCTAGCACCAATTTGCTGTAGATTTGCAGATCCAGCAGGCATGACTTATCACGGTTAAGGTTCTCAGCTGACTCCTTACCATGGCTCACATTAAATGGTCCTTTCACCAAGACAGCTTTTATACTCTGTTCAACAGGAAGTATCCAAGCTATACCTAAAAATACGTTGCATAAAGATGTGGAACTTGCAGCTGAGCACTCATGGGGCTGAAAGCCCTGGATCTTTGCAGGAGTGGAGGAAACAGATGCTGACTTTGTAGTCTTCTTTCCCGTGATTTAATAATAAGCTCTCTTTTAAAGAGTTGGTCATCAATGTATGTTATTTATCCAGCGCTGCTTCTCTTCCCCGCCCCCACCCAATTTCTGTTAGTCTTTTATTCTGCACCTCCACCACCTCATTTTTTAAAAAAACAACAACCTGCTTTTGCTCTGTGCGGCATGTTCTGCAAACTGATTGGTTTTGTTTTTCCCATCTGTGGCCTGCTTTGTTATGGATATACACTTTTCTTGGCTCCAAAGTGAAATGTTTTCGGTAATGTCCTGTGAAGCTGTTTTGACAGGACTTCCTAAGATTGGAAAGCTTTTCATTTCATCCCCCACAGAGAGTAGCAATGATCATGCATCAAGTACCGAGAGATCAGGAGAAGTATGCTTGGGTCTTGGCAGTTTTCACGTTTGCATACTCTGGTGCCCACTGTCTGGGACATAGCAGGCTAGAAGTGAGCTTCTTCCATTTCTGTCTTTTCCCATTTAGAAATGGGCATGCTGGAAGAAAGGTCATATGGATTAGATATGATTAGCAACTGTCATTTTTGTACTTCGGACAAAAATTGTAGCATGTGTATTTGAAAACAGACTTCCCTACTTGTTGATAGGGATGTAAAGGTAAAGGCAAAGGGACCCCTGACCATTAGGTCCAGTCATGGCCGACTCTGGGGTTGCGGCACTCATCTCACTTTATTGGCCGAGGGAGCCTGCGTACAGCTTCCAGGTCATGTGGCCAGCATGACTAAGCCGCTTCTGGCGAACCAGAGCAGCACACGGAAACGCTGTTTACCTTCCCGCCGGAGCGGTACCTATTTATCTACTTGCACTTTGACGTGCTTTCGAACTGCTAGTTTGCCAGGAGCAGGGACTGAGCAATGGGAGCTCACCCCGTCACGGGGATTCGAACCACCGATCTTCTGATTGGCAAGTCCTAGGCTCTGTGGTTTTTTTATATATATATATAAGATATTTATTAAAGTTTAAAAATTACAAAGAAAAGAAAAGAGGAACAAAAGAAAAATACAAACAATAAACAATTACAAAACCTCAGAAACAAAAATAAATACAGTAATACAAAACACCAACAATACAAAAAAGGGAAAAAACAAAAAAACAAAAGCATTTAAAAAACCCAAAAAAGAACAAACAAAAATAAAAAGGACCCCGTATTTTCATATCCTTATCTTTCATTTGCTTATTTCCTCGACTTCCTCACACCTCCTTTTTTGTATTCTAGTTCAATTAATTATTCCAGCAAGTCGTTTCCCTCTTTCTCAAATTTAGTTCCATAATTTATCTTAACGCAATTTAGCCTTAAATTTACACCTTTACCCAATGTCGATCTATTCATACTTAATTCTTTATAGTATTTCTACTAAAGTCATATAGCTTCTTTCCAGCATCCTTCTAACATTCATTAATTTTATAATATTTCTGTAAATATACTTTAAATTTTTTCCAATCTTCTTCCACCGACTCTTCTCCCTGGTCTCGGATTCTGCCAGTCATTTCCGCCAATTCCATCAGCTTCATCTGCCATTCTTCCCTGGTAGGTAGGTCTTGTGTCTTCCAGTGCTTAGCAATGAGTATTCTTGCTGCTGTTGTGGCATACATGAAAAAAACGGTCCTTCTTTGGCACCAATTGGCCCACCATGCCCAGGAGAAAGGCCTCTGGTTTCTTTAAAAAGGTATATTTAAATACCTTTTTCATTTCATTATAGATCATCTCCCAGAATGCTAGGCTCTGTGGTTTAACCCATAGCGCCACCTGTGGAGCAGGCAATTTCTATCCATTTTGTGTTTGTCAAAACCAGTGCTGTTTCCATCCCACTGCAGTTCGGCTTCCACTGTTATTTGTGAGCCATTGTGGGTACACAAGTCACCTGCTAACAGTCTCCTTCACCATGGTGAGATGCATGGTGTTTCTGTTTAAATGACAGCACTAATTTGGCTTTGTGCCCATCTGTGCCCTCTTTTTCAATTATTTATTCCCTCTTTTATGGCAATGTGCAAAGGACGCTCTTCTTTCATGATTAGAATCGTGGTCAGCAAAGTCCTTCAGATGGGTTGTGTTTCCTATACATATGGGAAGTGGAATTCAGGGGGTTAGCCAAAGGCAGAATCTGATATCTGAATGGTGCAGTAGTATGTATGTATGTATGTATGTATGTATTTGAAATATTGGTCCTAGCATGCAGGCACCATTTGGTCTTGTGCCAGCACTGTTCCAAGTCATTTAGGCAAATCTAATATAACCTCCAACAAAATGACCGCCTTCAGTTCACAGCTGGGACTTAGCTATATGGCTACAAATAAAACATTTTAAATGTGTTGTAAAGTGCAGTATACAAATGTGACACTAGATGGCAACAGTGAGGTATGCTAAATTCAATGTATTTTTCAAAACGTTTTTTTAAAACACATTTTCACAGCAGGTTTTTTTTATTTGTGTGTAGATTCTACCCTGATCCACTGAATCCAAACTGCAAAAGATTATCAGCAGTAATTTTTGCAAAATCATGCAGACCACTAGACACACTACTCTGAGGTGAGTTAGAAACAACTTAAGAGGAACTTTGGCCTTGGTGGTGGTTTACAACCAAGGGTATCTCAAACCCTCACCCCACCCCAATAGCAACCCTGGGCTGGTCATTTGTTTGAATGTGTTATGCCCTCTAAGCCCTACAGTTTCATACAACAGGCAGGAGAACTAGCAGTGGGAGAATGGGTGTGGTTTTGTGGTCGATGATGAGAGCTTACTGCCATAGATTTGGCAGTGGCTGCCCTCAGTGAAAGACAGGAGGGGAAAGGGTTCCCCACACACACACATTTGTAGAATTTCCCCCTTCTTTTTTATTTTCTCTCTCTTCAGGTTCTGGATATTAGAACATGGAGTTAATGAGAATTTTGTCTCTTGGCTGCCGTGGAAGAGAAAGCTGGTTTCTCCTGCAGGGTGAGAGTCTGTTGGTGGAAACTGTCCCCACAGGTAAAAGATGGGGATGACTTGATTAGCAGTTTTTCCCCCTGTTTCTCGCTGCAGGGTTTGTTTCATCTTCCACTGTGGCAAAAATGTACATAATTAATTATGTAATTAATTTTCCTCTCCTTACACTATTCCACACCATTCATTTCAATTCAATGGAAATTTGGGGGGGGGGGGTCAGCAATTACATATTGTTTGTGGATTGAAAACAGCAGCAGTGAATACCGATCTTATTTGTTGGATTGATTTCCATTCCAGACATGAGAGGAATAGGCAGAGACTGGCCATTTCTGCTCCAATTTGCGTTCGTTGACATCCCTAGTGTTCCTAACATATATCCAATATGTTTTGTGATTTTGCTATTTTATATTGTTTTGATTCATTTATTGTGTTTATTGTACTTTGTCGTCCATTTCTTTTATATTAGTATCATGCCCGCACCAGATGACTCCCCTTCCAAGGAGGATCTGGCCCAGGGTGATCTGGAGACTCCAGAAACTCAGAAAGTGCCTAGAACAGCAGCCAAGAAGAAGCCAGGACCTGTGGGGGAGAGTAGAAGAGATCCCTCCTTGCAGAAAGGAAGCTTATCCTCTGAAAAAGAGGCAGAACAACCCCTGGAATGGATGGCTCCTCAATGGGCAGACCAATACCCTCACAGTTTGGAGCGCAGCTTGGTGGCAATAGAGGGCTCCATGTGAGTAAATGGCTCCTCAGAAGTAGAACCCTCTTCATGAGGGTTCTCTGCAGAAACCTCTAAGAGGCCACAGCTAGGAGAGCTGCTGGAACAATGTCTTGTTATCAACACTCTGTCTTGTACCAGAGTCTGACATTCTATTTACTTGGGCTGGGACTACTCCTTGGCCTGCTATTTTCCTGAGCCCCTGCTAACCTGGACAGTACCTCAACTTGCCTTAGCTCTTGTTGAAGCCACTGTTTGCCAGGAATTGGACCTTGGACTGGCCTTGGACGTTGCTGCTTCCTGTGCCCATGAGATCTGGAAGGTCCCCTGGGAATCCGGCAAGGACAGGATGATTAGGATCTGTTGTTTTTATCTGTTAACACTTTGTTATCGTCAAGAGTGGTTTTGAGCTCAACGTGGTAGTTGGGAAAGTGGGGCGCAACTATGAAATCAGACTGAAAGTAGTTCATAGTCGCCATGATAGATTTAGCCAAAATATGAAGCAAAGTCAAGTTGTTTCAAGGACCCAAAAAGATGTGAGTCCTAGTTATGTTTAGACAAAGCTAAAAGAAATGACAACAAAGAGATAATGTGCTTGGCTCACGTTACTGGGTGAAATTCGTCAGGATATACAGATGATGGATGAATGTCATCTCACTCTGTGGTATTCAGCGCTCTTGTCTTTCAAACATTTCCCCATTTACATAACATTCTCTTCGCTATTCATATTGTTGAGTAAAAAATTTTTGCAAGAGAAAGGCGCATTTGAAACTGACATATTACGGCACTTTTGAAATGTGTTGCATAAATCTTGGCCCATGCTCGATCTCTCGGTGCTGATTAAATGGCATAAAAAGCCCTGGTAAAGTAGCTGTGCATGATTGAGGCTTCTCTTGTCAGGTTTGTCCCACCCATTATTTTATTGGGTTTTGTTCTATGGAAATAACATGAGTAAAAGACCTGTTTCAGAGGGTGAATTCTTAACATCTTTATCCCGCACACATTCACTTGGAAACAGACTTCATTAATTTCACTGGAACTTCCTTCCTTCCTTTCGAAGTAAGTATGATTAGAACTGCAGCCTAGATGTAATACATATTAAAGAGGTCTGGGTTAGACTTTTATATCTGTGCATGAAGCTGAACAAATCCATTTGATCTCCAATGGATTATGCACTTTAATACAACGAGGCTCTCTAATGAAACCAAAGAAATTTTGGATACGGATGATGAAGAAAATACGTGCCTGAGCTGAATTAACAAAAGTCAGGCAAGGTCCTTCACCTACAAACATGTAGAAATTTTGGGCCAGATCTATGAAATTCCATGGAACTTTATGAACAACATTCCTGAGCCAGATATATTGAGCTGCAACCTTGGTCTGCTTAAGTAAGGTCAATCAAGGTTGCAGATATGCTTACAGTGGAATCCTATGCATGCTTCTTCAGAAGTAAATTTTGCTGAGATCGATGGGAATTAGTCCCCAGTAGGTGTGAGAAGAGAAGACTCCCTGGAAAAGATCTTGGTGCTGGGAAAGATTGAGGGCACAAGGAGAAGGGGATGACAAAGGATGAGATGGTTGGACAGTGTTCTCGAAGCTACCAGCATGAGTTTGACCAAACTGTGAGAGGCAGTGGAAGACAGGAGTGCCTGGCGTGCTCTGGTCCATGGGGTCACAAAGAGTCGGACACGACTAAACAACTAAACAACAACAGGTGTATGTTTAAGACAGCAACATTATTTGGGGTAACTTTGCATTTTACACCAGCTAAGTCCCAATATCTGAGTGATTTTGCATCATTTGCCATGCTTTGTTTACTGTATTCTGAAAACTGGAAGTCATGTACCCAGTAGAGGCGGGTGTAGCGAGCCAGAATCACAGAGCTCCTATCCTGTGCTGTTTTTCTAGAAAAATAGGTGCCAGAACTCACCATGAACACCTTCCTTGTACTCTTAGAATGGCAAGGTTTGAGAAGTGCCGGAACTGTCAGGGACTGACTGGACGAGGAAGAGTTGTGGCAGCCAGTAGTCCAGGAAGCACCTAAAAGTAGAAGGGGACTTTGAACCAGGTTCAGACTGGTGGGACAGGGAGGTAGCCACAGGCTGTCTCTCCTGCTCTGCAATCCAGTCCCGATTCAGCTCCTTCTCGTCCCCCACTCTCAACGCAGGAAAGAAGGGTCGAGAAAAGGCTAGAACAACTAATAAAAGCTGAGTCACAGCAAAAAAAAATGCAAGGAGGGAGGTATAAATAAGGGAGAGAGAGGACAGAACTTTAGCTTCTGCAGCTGACATACTTATCCGATGGATGTGCATGTGCTGGCTCCTTGATTACTGAGCAATAAAGTTAATTACCTCAAGCATTGTGCCTGGTTCTGCTTACAGCATCAGATAAAAGATGGAGGGGCTTTTCTGGCAGTCTGACAGGAACCGAGTTCCAGCAAGTTCCGGCTTTAAAAAAGCCCTGCTCCTAACATACTTCAGTGACTGATAGGGACGTGGGTGGTGCTGTGGTCTAAACCACTGAGCCTCTTGGGCTTCCTGATCAGAAGGCCGGTGGTTCGAATCCCTGCGATGGGATGAGCTCCCATTGCTCTGTCCCAGCTCCTGCCAACCTAGCAGTTCAAAAGCATGCCAGTGCAAGTAGATAAATAGGTACCACTGTGGCGGGAAGGTAAACTGCATTTCCGTGTGCTCTGGTTTCCGTTACGGTATTCTGTTGCACCAGAAGTGGTTTAGTCACGCTGGCCATATGTCCCGGAAAGCTGTCTGTGGACAAACGCCAGCTCCCTCGGCCTGAAAGCAAGATGAGCGCCACACCCCATAGTCAGCTTTGACTGGACTTAACTATCCAGGGGTCCTTTACCTTATAAATTCAATCAAGTGATCAATCCATGCCCTCAAATCCATGTGGTTGCAGAGTTGGGAAGAGACACCTTGAGGGTGAATTTAGCTCTCGGTCTGGGGTTCCCCATTCAAATAGGGTCATCGGTGAACACCCAGCAGTAACATGATGGTGTCCTGACACTGATACACTTGTGCCTTGGGAACAGGGAAAAGAACCCATGCTGGAGTCTAGCCAGAGTTTTGGGACTCAGTGGGGTTGTGAATCAGGATTAGGGGCTCCATCAACAGCAGAAGCGGGGTGACCAGATGCAGTGGAGTCAATGGGAACACTGTGTCCAAGTGAGGGCTAAGTTCTTCCTGACATACTAAGTAGAGGGGTCACGAGGTGGCCAATGGACACCATTCCAAATATACACAAAAGCTTACTTGTGGGCACCAGGAGTATATTATTTGGCTGTGTACTCCAGTTTCAAGTGTACTGCATTTATTTTTAACTGACAAGAGAAAATGCTGTAATTCAGATGCAGTGCATGCCTTATGCAACACACACATTGTTTCCAGCGCTTGCCTTTTTGTCTTACTGACAAGGGTAGCATTTGATATGACCCATATTTTCAAAGGGCTGTATACATAACCTGCGTAGTGCATTTTGATGCGGTGTCGAGACTCAGCTAGTATTATCCTCTAGCTGGATGCATGAACACTTTTCTCTCCAAGAAAGTGGAACCAGATATTAAAAGCAAACTGCAAAGTTGACAACAAACCCTTTTCTCCCCAGTGATCTAAAAATGAATTAAGTTCTTAACCCGAGGTACCACTGTATATTAAAATGCCTATTTGGGAAAATTGCTTTGCAAAACTGCATAACTAAGGCAAAACCACATGCAAACATGAGTACAGTGGGACCTCTGTTTTCGAACGTAATCCGTTCCGGAAGACCGTTCGACTTTCAAAACGTTCAAAAACTGAAGCATTTACTTCCGGAAGCATTTGCTTATGGAAAACTCAAAACAGAAGCCTCATTCCCTGTTTGACTTCTGAGGCATGTTCGAAAACTGAAGCAGTCACTTCTGGGTTTTCAGTGTTCGAAAACCGAAACGTTCGACTTCCGAGACATTTGAAAACCGAGGTACCACTGTATGTTAGGATAAATTTGCTGCTGAATTATTATTTACAAAAATATTTGTATATTTGTATATGCAGTTTACATCAACAAAGACATAAAACCATCATATCTGGCTGGGTATCTAACAGATAATTCAAAATCTGTCTTTCTAATGAATAATTTTCTAATCTAATCAGTTCCTCAGTTTTTGAAAAAATAATAAGAATTCTAGATACAAACAAGCCTGCATGAAAAGTATAAAGGCCCAGATTAATCACATCTGAGGCACATACGGTGTTGTCTAAAAACAGAACACCTTAGAACCCATGGGCTCGGAAAGGATACCTCATACTTGTTTGCTAAATGTTATGCTAGGAAACAGGCCAAGATGTGCCTGAGCATGTATAAGTGTGACTTAATACCATCTTACTCAGCCCAGCTGAGAAGTCATGAGCATAAATGTGATACGTTCCACCATCTAAGCATCTGTGTTTATCTTGGCTCTGCATTTCTGACAGCTAGTGCAGATGGTCAGTAAATATGAATAACGGAGGCAGCTCTGGCCTCAGAATGCCATTGCAACTGGGGCATTTACATGCTCAATATACTTCAGAATTATTATTTTTTTAAAGAAACATAGTAAACAGAAGCAAATTGGTCCGTCCCCCGCCCCCGCACCCGTTGACTATTGGAGATTGGGTTTGGAAGCATGGCTATCTATATAGAAAGAGATTCTAGTTCTGTAAATGCAATAAACGAGAAATTAAGGCAGGGGGTGATGTCTTGTATACCAATCATGTCCCCCTGAATTTTCTTCCCTTGCAAACGCAGAAACAACAAAAACAAAAACAATTTATTTATTATACACCCCGCCCATCTGGCTGGGTTTCCCCAGTCACTGTGGGGGGCTCCCAATAGAATATTAAAAACATTATAAAACATCAAACATTAAAAACTTCCCTAAACAGGGCTGCCAAGAAGGCCCTCTGCCTGGTCCCCTGTAACTTCACTTCTTGCAGGGAGGGAACCGCCAGAAGGCCCTCGGAGCTGGACCTCA